ACCTTAACTTATCAACTACAGCTTTCATTTTCACAGAGAGTGCCTGTGCCCAGAGAAGTAAGTGCCTTGTTCATGGCCACTCAGAAGTGAAATTAGGCTTCTGATATTATCTCAATGGCCTTGCTAAACTATTATCCAAATTAATAAAGGAGTTGTATGCTTCTCCACTTAGTAATAAAACAGTGCCCAACACTATCCTGCCTAATAGCTGATATAAACTACAGCATGTTCAAGGTGTGAATGTGTGAACATTTTTAGCTTTGTGATGCTATCTTTCCTGATTAATCATTTAGATGTAGTGAGATCACAACTGGTAGGGGCATTTGAGTATCTCAGTGTAAATATGCACTGTAAATAAACACTGAACATTAGCCAGTTTTTGTCTAATCTATTATCTATCTACAATCTGCCCCTCTGTCTTGAAGTATATGTATAAGTTGAATTCCACTGTAATAAAAGTAATAAAAGTCCTTATTGGATGCTTTCTAAATTTTCACCATTATTCTATTGAAGCACTATATGGGTAGAACAGACAATAATTTAAAAATAAGCCCCTTAAATGATTTGTCTGTAAGTTGCTGATCTGATGACAAAAGTATTTTATATGTATGTGCATTAATGAAAGAAATGCTTTCTTAGTCAGTGATATGCTATTGGGCTCTCTAAAATGAGGTGCCACTTTATGCAGATTAATGAACCATAGGGTCTAAGATAAGCTCTTGGTGCAATGAGACAATCCAGAAAGTAGTCAGCAGTGCTATGTGGGTGTTTCTGCTGCCTATATATTCTTTTATCTGCTGACCTCTGCCACATCATTTTTATCCCAAACTGCTCATGCTATCCTTTCCCTCTCATATCACCCCCTCACAAAGAAGCCCACATGCATTATATTAAACATCCTTAAATTATCAACCCAACAGCTTTAGAAAACTTGCCATCTTTTAAAGTTTGATTTTGTTCTGTGGTTCTTTTCTGGAAGAGCAACATAAAGAACAAAGGCAGATGGAAGCATCATTTGCCTCCTTTCAGGTACCATTCTGTTTTCCATCTGCTTCCACAAAGGATTTGAGCATTTATCCCTTTATACCTAGGGTGAGATTTGGCCCACTGCCTGTTTTCATAAATAAAGTTTTATTGAAACATAACCCACCCACTCATTTACCTATTGTCTGTGGGTGCTTTCACACTACAGGGAAGACTAATTGCAGCAGAGTTGAGTAGTTGCTACAGAGACCACATGGCTTGCAAAACCTGAAATATTTACTACCTACTCCGTGGAAGAAAGATGGAGCAGTCTAAGTCTACTTCTTTTGTAAAGATATGCTGCCTCAGAAACCCAGTGGAGGTCACTATAGTTGGAATCAACTGATGGCATTGGGGTTTTTTTTTTTTTTTTTTTTTTGAGTCCTTTGTGTCTTCTATGTACAGAATCATATTGTCTGCAAATAGAGATAGTTTTACTTCCTCTTTGCCAATTTGTATGCCTTTTATTTCTCCTTGCCAGAAAACATTTTCTTACCCCTGCTTTGCACTGATACTTTGCTGTCCGTACTAGCTCATTACATGTGTACAGCCACAAGCTCCAGTGCGGGTCAACTTTGAACCAAACTGTGCTTTGAACTTGATTTAAACATTTATATCCATGTTCACCAAAGAGTTTGCATGTTTTGATATTTAAAATGTAGCTATTTAAATCATATTTGACTTGTAATGAAACAGAAAACCTAAAAAGGGTCTCTCTCTTCTTTAACCTTTTTAACCAGCTAAGATAAGCTAAGGGCACCCAGAAACAGTCACATCCTGTAAGTAAAGTATGACTCTGAAGTAATGAATTACAACTAACAATTTCAAGTTTAAACTAACAATTTCCTCCATGAGGAAACTAGACTTTGCCAGACTTGACCAAATGCTTTGTTTAGACTCCAGATTTCCCTGCCCCCCACAAACTTCCCTTTTCTCTTGATTCATTTCCTGATAACAAACCACATTGCCAGATGGACATCCTAGGTAGAGAGCTAAGGAAACTCATTTTCAAAGAATGTATTTGCAAAGTAAAACTTTCATCTTAAAAAAAAAAAAAAATCAAACTCACTGCCGTGGAGTTGATTCCGACTCATAGCGACCCCTCCTTGGGTTTCCGAGGCGGTATCTCTATGGAAGTAGATTGTTCCATCTTCTTTCCAAGGAGTGACTGGTGGGTTTGAACTGCCAGCCTTCTGGTTAGCAGTCAAATGCCTTAGGCACTAGAACTTTTTTAAGTGTTGGAACAATTCGCCTCTATTTTGTCTGTATAGGACAATTCTCAAGACAGTAGAAAACATTATTTGCCTTTAACTTTTTCTTTTTTAAACAAAAGTGAGCCTTCCTTTAGTGCTCTGTTCATGAGCACATTTGGGACCTCAGTGATGAGGGAGTATTTTCAAAGCCTGCCATTTAACATGGCTGTGACAGGGCCATTTTATATATAAAACATGGTTTCTGAAGAAGTACCTGAAACAAAACATAAATCATTTGCTGCATATTCAGCAATGACCAGTTGATACTGAGGCTCTGAATATGGCTTGATGTAGAATTGATTTTTAAAAAAGTAAGCTTAATCATTGTAGGAGCCTCAATTACGTCTGAAACTAAATCTTACTGCTTTCTAGTAACAGTGTCTTCCCTAAAGTTCTGAAGTTTAGAAAATACACCAGAGTTACAAGACTGAATGTCACCAGCCCTTGGAGACCAAGCTGAAGGCAAGATCAAGTTGCTTCCATCACAAAAGGACTCTTGGCCATGTCCTAGCTGCTTTCTAACCAATTCAGTTTAGTTGACTTTTATCAAATACTCATAGGATCCAGGTACATTGCAAGGTATTGGGGATAGAGAGGTAGGTGAACAACATGTAGGGCCTCGCTCTCAAGGAGCTCTCATTCTTGTGGGGAAGAGAATTAACTATAATAACAAACAGTATAACTATGAAGTATAAAGATTATGAAATAAAATAAAACAAGCCTTTGTTAAAGGAATCAGAAAGAAAGAAGTGATTAATTCATGTTGAGATTCATTGCAGCCATCAAAGAAGAACTGAAATTCTCCTTCCATCCCTTTTCCTGTCATCTGTCATGAGCCGACCACTGCCAACACCCATTACTCTCTTTTCCCTGGTTTGAGGATCGTCACAAATACATCCCCATTACATGGTCAAACATGGGATTTTTGTACTAAGGCACTTGACTGCTAACCAGAAGGCTGGCGGTTCAAACCCACTAGCCACTCCTTGGAAGGAAGGTTGGGCAATCTACTTCCATACTGATACTGCCTCAGAAACCCAAGGAGGGGTTGCTATGAGTCGGATCTGACTTGACGGCACATAACAACAGCAACAACAAGAAGTCTGTGACTCGCGTAGGAAAGGAAGGAAGGAGGGACGAAGGAAGAAAGGATGGGCATCCTTAGAAAATGTGTATTAGGAGTTTTAAACCCTGAACTTAAGTTTTGGAAGGTTTCATTTGGAATACTAGCTCCATACTTCTTCATTCTAGGCTAGTTGTTCTGTGGAATTTTAGTCATCTTAGAGTCACTGCTCATGGTGGGACAGGGGGGATAGGAGATACTCTACAAGATCTCTCACTACTCTGCTTTTATCTGCTCTGAGTGCTGGGATTCCACATAAGGAAGTGTTTAGAAAGTTGGAAAACCAGTATTTCAATTTGACGACTTTTGAGATAAAGGGAAATTGTGTGACCAAGACATTCTATCTATGGCCAGAGGTTCCAGATTTTCTGTCTACCTATGAATATCATCATTAAACAATTTCTCATCAGAATTTGCTGTAAAAAAATGCATCTAGATGGAGGGTTCTGTAAAACAAACAAAGCCAATGGGTCCTCAGCCATTGACTGTCAAGGCTTTTGATGTCTCTTGAACTATGAGAAGGAAGCTGATGGCTCATTCTTGGATTTGCCCATTGGTGGGACCGCGTCTTCTCCCCACCCCATTTTTTCCTTCTATTTTCTCAAAATTACCCAATCCCATCATGGGCCTGCTCAGCTTCTACTGGACAAAAGAAATTCTCCCACGAGGGTAGAATCCAGTCTCTTTGGGGTCCTGCTTATATTCGGGGCACAGGCTTTTGGCATACAAAGTTTACTACTATTTATGTTTCAATGTGCTAATTGTCAAGGCCAGAGGGATGAGAGTCTGAGATTTTGGGACATTAAATTGGAGATTTTGCAGTCACCTTTGAAAACAATGCTCAATTTGTCAAATACCTATTTCTGTGCCAGTTTTCATTCAGTTTAATGTATGAACCCTATGGATTCTATAAGTGATGTCTCCTGGACCATGTTATCTGTTTACACTGATTTTAAGTGTATGTAAAGTTATTTGACTAGATGTGTTTTTGGTTTGTTTGTTTTTCCCCCCCAGAAGGGAATCAATGAATTGTCATCTCAACATTTGTTTGGTAAAAGAAGCAAATTTGGTATGAAACTGTATATTTATGCATGATTTTTGTTTTCCTTTCTGATATCTCTGCCTCTCCCTCTCTATTATTAAAGGAAGAAATACCCCTGGAAAGCCAATGAGAGAGGTTAGTGAGATTCAGGCTCACACCCATGGCTTCTGTCTGTCTCATCTTGCTTTCTGTGTTTGGCGTTTATGTAAGAATTGTGTGCGTGCACGCGCATGTGTGTATTACACGTTGTGTCGTCATGTAAGGATGGTAGCCACCTCTCCACTTGCAGCTCATGAGGAATATTCCTCAAACGTTCATTTCTGTTGTCATCACTATGATGACAAGACCAAGGAGTTGGGGGAGCAGAGATCTCTTTAAAATGTCAATTCTTTGTAGTCCCTAGGTTGGAATCCTGCAGCTCGTCATCTGTTGCCATTTGCAACACAAACAAAATCTTCAAAATAAATTTAGTTTTGAACATAATTGATGAGTCATAAAATTTCCTTCTACTTCTAGGACCCTAGCATTTTCTGCCAGTGTCCTTGGTTTCTATTCTTCTGGAACAGCTTTGTTTTGTTTTCTTGTTTTATTTTCTCCTGGCTTCCACACTCTTTCCCAGTTTAGCTAACATTTTTTGAGCACTTGCTGTGCGCCAGGCACTGTTCTAAACACTTGCCATATTCTTCATCATGTAATCTTCATGACAAAGCTATGAGGTAGGTACTCTTACTAGCCCCGTTTTACAGATAAGGAAGCCAAGTCAGTGAGAGGGTAAGCAATGTGCCCGAGGTGACAGAACTAGGATTTGAATGCAGGGAATCTGGCTCCGGAGCCCTATTCTTAATGAACTCTTACACTGTATTGCCACTTTAGAAAATGGTGTTTGAAGGGCATAGATCATTTTAACTATGCCCTTAAAGACACTCCTTTTTCTATTTGGCATTTAGAGCCAGCTAAGACTATAACCAATTCAGTATAAAAATTAAGATATTGGAGTCTTGGGGGATTTGTAAAAATGCCTATTTGTGGGGTAAAAAAGTATCCCTGATGGCTCAACAGTTAAGCACTCGCTGATAACCGGTAGGTTGGTGGTTTGAACCCACAAGCCATTCCACAGGAGGAAGACCAGGCAAAGTGCTCCTGTAAAGATTACAGTCTACAGAGCCCTATGGAGGAGTTCAGCTCTGTCACATGGGGTCGCTATAAGTTGGAAATTGACTCAACGGCACAAAACGGCAACAACAACATGCAGGAAAAGGGGTAGGATGCAGCCTTATCACTGAATGTGGTTTGGGGTTTTACAGTGGAAGATGCTTCTTATTCCTATTCCACTAGGAATATTGTCTGCACATCAAATGATTATTGAATGACAAAGTGTTGAGTCACAGCCCAAGTGAAAAGCTTGTACTTACCAAGAGCTTAGTGTCAAGGAGGGGAGAAGGGAAGCTCTGCCGTGGGATGGCAGTAGTGGGTACTGTCCCGGGAGGCAGGCTGGATGTGTGCAGAGGCCTGTGAGATGATTCTGGTTCCTTAGCAAGTGGAGGGGCAAGAGTAGCCACTGATTCATTTAACTGTAAGGCGTCATGCTGGAAATTCTGCCAACACCACGTCATCCCAGTCTGATGAATTATTGATCCTAACAGTTTGCCTGGCTCATACACTTCTTATGTGAGACTTCTTTGGTTCATTCTTATGGTAAGTGCCCCCTTAAGCTTTATTTGAACCTTCTGTGAAAAGTTGCCCTACAATACTGACCACCCTGAACTTGTTCCTCTCACTAATGAAGTTTAGAAAAGATTAACACATATCATTGAGGCCATATAAGCGTTTGAAGCCTTTATTACTCCAAGTGTAAAATAGTCAGATAAGTTTCCAGAAAGCTGGAGAACCAAAACAATAATGATTTTTAACACAATGGTAAAACCCAAAATATACAGTAGATAAGGTGCATTTTTTAAAAAAGATTAAATTATAGAGGGGAAATTAAAAAAAGAAAAAAAGAGGTAAGCACATTTCACTGCAGTATTCTGGCTTGGCTTTGGCCAATTGAATGCTACCCATTTATTTGGGAATTATATTTTTAAAAAAAAATTAGAGTGCCAGATTGCTGTTGAGGTCTTGGATCTTTGCCAGAAAGTCTCAATTCCAATCACTGTGGAAAACAACTCCCTCAGGCAGTGGTGCCGTGTGAGACTAAATGTGTTGCAGTTCGCAAACTTGGAAAAACATGCAACTGCCCTAATGTTCAACACATGGGGCCTTTGTGTTCAACAATCCTTGCTCAAGAATGGATTAAATTAATACTTTCTATGGAAGTATTTTTGCGTCAACTTGTGCTTGCACCTGATTACAGATGCCTGAATGCTGGCAGCCTTTCAGTGCCTCTTGCATTCATAGTACGAGCTTTTAATTTTGCAGTCAGAAAAATCTGTCGGGTAAAATTGAAAACCTCCCTAAAGCTCTGCCCTACACACATGGTAATAGAACCATGGTACAAACCCACTTTCTGCATCCAGAGTATAGTGCAGTTTGAACCCTCAGTGGGTTGAGTTCTGATTCTTTTCAATAGTATTTGGCCAAAGAGATAGAACCTTTCTTTCTGGATCCAGTGAAAACTTCCATGAAGAAAAATTTAATTCCGGTAAAATAGGTATTTGTAAATGAAGCACCCAAAGGCATGACAGATCCGTTGAGGTGCCTCTAAAGGTTCTTGATTTTTATAGCTTAGAGATAGCTACAAGGTCAGTTGTGAAAATGTAAGTCTTAACGGGCTAAAGGCCACCTAACATTTTGTGCGGGGGTGTGTGGCATATTAAGAATACTGCTGGGTAATGTTTAAGTAGCAGACACCCCTAGAACGTACACCTCTTGAGACACTCAGGAATTTTCCTTTCGGGTAGAAACTGAGCATCATTTCTAGGAGTGGAAGCCTCACTCGGCTGTATAATCTAGAAATGCCTTTTCTTCTTTAGCATCGTTTAACTGCAGTCCACGTTGCCTAGCACACAGTCTTAAAAGACACTTTTTGATTCTTAATCCATAAACCAAGGGGGAAAAATATGTTCTTCTCTTTGTTCTTTAGGTCTTATAATACATAGTCTAACTACCAGGTGGACTATACTAAAGCCAGATGTGGGTAATGGAAAATCATTTGGATTATATTCAGGTATTAGGTTGTAAAGGTCTTGGGTTTTGTTTTTACTGGTTTTGATAATAGCAGTTAAAATTGTAAGTAATTAAAAATCTGCAGTTAGTCTATCCATTTTCAATTATGCATGAATAATTGTGCTAGTTTCCCAGGGGAGCTGGGCTATCAAAAACAGATAGAGAGGAAGCTCTCCAACCTAGGGACAATAATTATATATTTTTGCTATGAGCTGTAAGGAGCAGCGAAGAGCTCACTGTACTTTCCTGTGGTTTTTATGGCTTTGAAAAAGCCAAAGGTGGTTTCAGTTTGTCACTCAGGACTGCCAAATTATTAGCCTCCTTTATGAATAGTACATATGCTACAGTTGCAACCTCAACCAAAATCCAAAGTGATGTTTTTAAAACGCAAGTATTTTTCACAGAAACTCTTTGGATTAATAAAGCTCAAAGAGATTTACAAACTTGGTCACCTTAAGTTAAATGGCTGAGTGGCATTAAACTGTCAATAAGTCTGAACATGATCTGGTGCCATCACTGTTTAAGTCCTTGCCCATGAATCCTCTTCTGATACTCTCTCTCTTTCATATTTTTTAAAAAGATTATGCCTTTTGAAATAAATATTAGAATAGAATACCTGTCCTAGTCTGTATTTAATTTTTATTGAATTATTATGGGAATCTGTAAAGTTGATCCATGGCAAGGTAGTAATAGCCCAGTAAAGCATTTTTAGTTCCAAAGACAGTACTTGAATAGTGGAATGATTTACTAATGTTCAAGAATAAAAATATGGGACATACATGAAAAGGCAAGTCATAAAGTATGTCTCAGATTATGTTACTCTAGATCCGAATTTTGTTACAAAGTACCCAGGGACATTAAACCGCTCCTAGGTTCCATGCTGGGGGATTAATGCTAGGTCATGCCACATTATTATTAAAAGGTTATCCCGATAGTTAACCCTCATTTGGGAAGAGATCAAAGGTAGATTCACAGATTACCCAAATCCATGCTATACGTGTGGGTCATATTATAATTAAGCTCTGGAGTAATTTGGAATGAAAAGTGAGTTTTATTCTGAAGCTTCCTAATTCAAATGTTACTTATGTACTAAAAGGTCAATTCAAGAGTTTATTTTTCAATCCAAGTAAAAGCAGAGAGAAAATAGCCACCTCCACCATAGCCTCAGAAGTGAGCCAGCAGCTTGAAAATGCCTTGAAATGAAGATTTCATGTGGTGGTGATGGTGGTGGTGATGATGATAGTAGTGGTGGACGTGATGGTGATATTGGAAGTGATAATGGTGGTAGTGGTGATCGCAGTTGGGCAGGTGGTGGAGTTTGTGATGGTGTTGGTACTGTTGAGGGTGATGGTGGTACTGGTGAGGGTGATGGAGTTAGTGATGGTGGTGGTGAGGGTAGTAGTGAGGGAGGTGGAGTTAGTGGTGGTGGTAGTGGTGAGGGTGATGGTGGTGAAGGGGGTGGTGCTAGTTATGGTGGTGTTGACTTGATAGTAAAAAATTGTAGTCCAAGTAGATCATAATTAACCACCCACAGCAAAACGGAAAAGGTCCATCCCATCATGAAGTATTCCTGTTATGACAGGAATATTGTACTTATCCACAGAATCCTTTTGCTGTGTGATAGTTACATTGGGAGGATGTGTGCAGTGTTTGACATTTTTCTGTTTAAATAATACCAGTAGGTTAGTCCAACGTTAAGCTAATACTAACAATGTGTAATGGCTTCATTAACAAGGCGTTGCTTTTGGAAACTGGTGAAAATCCAATCCCGTTGCGCACCCCCTCGATGCAGCTTCTGTGTTGTCTTCACCTAGAAATGGGGAATGATTTTCCCAACGGCGAAGATTCAGGATGACGGCATCTGCATGTTCTGTAAAGTCTTCTTCCTCTTTGTTTTTCAGGACACAATGTAGGAAGTCTTTTCCACATGGCAGATGATTTGGGCAGAGCGATGGAGTCCTTAGTTTCAGTCATGACAGATGAAGAAGGGGCAGAATAAATGTTTTACAACTCCTGATTCCCGCATGGTTTTTATAATATTCATACAAAAAAAAAAAGAGGATTAGACAGTAAGAGTTTACAAGAAAAAAAAATCTATATTTTTGTGAAGGGTAGTGGTACTATACTGTAGATTTCAGTAGTTTCTAAGTCTGTTATTGTTTTGTTAACAATGGCAGGTTTTACACGTCTATGCAATTGTACAAAAAAGTTATAAGAAAACTACATGTAAAATCTTGATAGCTAAATAACTTGCCATTTCTTTATATGGATCGCATTTTGGGTTGTTTAAAAAATTTATAACAGTTATAAAGAAAGATTGTAAACTAAAGTGTACTTTATAAAAAAAAGTTGTTTATAAAAACCCCTAAAAATGAACACACACACACACACACACAAATTTTGAGGCAGTGCATTGTTTTGCATCCTTTAGCGTGATATCCATATAAGATTCATGGCTTTTTTTTTTTCCTTTTCTTGCATATTCAAGATAGGACTTTCTCTAATACCACCAAATGACTATTTCACCTTACTCTTTTTGGGATTGTTGACTGAGTGGGGCTGGTTGTGAATTTTCACTTTATACAGCTATATATCTATAAGTATAAAAATACTATAGGTGTATAGATAAATAGATATAAATTTCTATAAACCTTTTAACTTTCTTGTTCAAATGTTCCTGCTACTTCTTAATGGAAAGAAATTGCCTCTAGTCATCCAGGTTTACCTGCTTGGTCTAGAATAAATTTTCCCTGGAGCCTGAAGCCAGGAGGAAACTACACTAAAACATTGTCTAGCGCTCCAGATGTTTCTCATTTTAAACTTTCCGCTGACAACTAGTGTATTGATTTTTTTTAAAGGAACATGTGAGTGAATACATAGACTTATTATATCAGAGTAATCCAGTGGCTGATATATCCAGCTTCCTGCTGCTGACAATGCCACGATTTGGATTAAATGATGCTCCAGCGGAGGCTGGAGTATCACAAGGCATTTTTAACTCCGAGGCAGTAGACAGTGAGGGTAGCAGGGGAGAGCTGTGGATTCCCAGCCAATTGCTGCGAAGGAACAGGCCACTCTTGAAGTAAAGGATTGGATGAATGTCCATAACCATACATAGAGGTCTGTATAATTCCCACTGAAATATTCTGCCCTCTTCTCACAGTGAACTGGCAGTGTTTTTTTGGTTTTGTTGTGTTTTTGTAAGGTTTTTTCCCATTGCAGTGAGATTTTAAATGCCGCAACACTTAATTTAAAATAACCCTTGGGAAAATGTGTAAGACAGTAGCCTCATCACATAGTGATACTGTTAAATATTCAACCCAAAAGCCCATGAACTGTGTTTCTCTCCTTTGCATTTATCTGCAAGTAATTCCACACAGTTTTGTTAAGTGAGAAGGCAATCTACTCAATGTTCCAAAAGCTACTCCAAACCCTTTGTGGTGGATTCAGTAGGTTAAATACATAAACAAAGATAAATTGTTCAAAAAGGTGAGAAAAACTCAAGAGGAAAAGCTTAGAACTGGTAGGAAAAAGCTTTACTCTTTCATGTCGTTTTATTAGTCTCTGATTTTGTCGTTCATTCACAAGAAGTCACCGTGTGACCTGTCGTTTTTGCAAATCTGTTACCTCTTACATCAAGTGTAATTAACTTTTGGAGAGTGGGTTTTGTCCATGATTTTATTAATGATATTTAACATCAAACATGGCTTCTCATGCTATTTCTACCTCACTTTGGTTTTGGGGTGTTCCTGATAATTGTGCACACCCGATTTCCCAGCTTCATCACTTGTCCATGTGTGAACATTTTTCTCCATTTCTTTTTTCCTTTATTATTTCCAAAAGAAAACCCAAAGCTCTAAGGTAACAAGATTATACGAAGATTTGGTTCTAGTCTTACATTTTTCCCTTTCTGCGACCTGGACTTTTTCTTTACCTCCGCCTCCGCCCCCAGTTTTTTTTTTTTTTTTTTTTCCTTTAACCGAGAGTTTTATAAAGGGTTACTTTATATCCTACCACAAAGTTTAAGTTTCATTCTAAAATCAGAGCTAAATAGAGTGCATAATTTTGTTTTAATCTTTTTGTTTTGATTTAACTTTTAGACATTAGTTCTGGAGTGAGTCTGTCAAAATATTTGAATAAAAATTGAGAGCTTTATTGCCGCATTTTAAGCATAATTTGGACATTATTTCATGTTCTTTATAACCACTGAGTATTAAACTGTAAATCATAATGTAACTGAAGCATAAACATCACGTGGCATGTTATGTCATTGTTTTCAGGTACTGGGTTCTTACTTGAGTATCATAATATATTGTGTTTTAACACCAACACTGTAACATTTACTAATTTTTTTTTAAACTTACGTTTTACTGCATTTTCACAACATATCAGACTTCACCAAATATATGCCTTACTATTGTATTATATTACTGCTTTACTGTGTATCTCAATAAAGCACGCAGTTATGTTACAAAAAAGTGTGGACTGGACTTCAGTATCTTGTTTCTGTTTTAATTTTGTTATTTCATTTTTAATAGGTAGTACATTCATATGGTTCCAAAAATAAAATCTTGAAAGGCAAGCAGTGAAAAGCCTCACACCCTCTTTCCCTTCCACATCCTCCTCATTGCCCTACAAGCAAACATTATTTTTAATTTCTTGTGTGTCCTTCCAGTGTGTCTTTATTCTTATAAAAGCAATCCTAATATATATCCCTACTTTTCTCCTTTGATTACACAGAACATAGCACTCCATGCACCCAATTATGCACTTTGCTTGTATGAGCTTCACAGTGGACTCTGTGGACTTTTAATATATAGAAAGTGTTCTCATTCTATTTTTATAGCAGTATAATATTCCAGTGTATGTTTGTAGTATATTTTATATAAGCAACCCCCTTTGGTGGGATACCTGGATTGTTTTCAGTCCTTTGCTATCACAAACCATAGTGTGCACCTCTCATTTAATCATTTTACTTGTGCACAAATGCATGCGTGGGACACATTCTGAAGTGAGAATGCTTGATCAAAGGGCATAAGCATTTGTAACTTGGTAGATCTTTTTTTATGCAGCAACAGTCATGGTATTTGTTTTAGTAATAACAGGTATATGAATTAATCAGGTTGCAATGCACATTTTTCTTCTTGGAAATTTCACATCCTTTCTATTATTGTTAATGATACCCAAGCTTAGAGGAAGTGTGAGTGGTAAGAGAAGTCCTTGAAATGATGCTTCAGAACTGGTTCTGGGGAGGATTCATAGTCTTCAGAGAGAGACTCCTTCTTACCCACCCACCCACCCCTACCTGTGCCCTAGCTTCAAGGAAGGCTTGGAAAATGAGTAGCAGTGTCAGTGCCTCTAGGAGAAGCTATCTTTGCCCAAGAGAACTCAGATGCTGGCAGATCAAGGAAATGAAAACAGTCCACTAGGTACAACTCACCTTAGTGATTTTAGAAATAATAGGAGCTAAATGAGCTTATTAATAATGGTGTTAGTGGATGTGGTGTCTCCAATATGAATCACTTGAAAACGTTTTCAGGGTGGGGTGATGATGGTTACCGAGGTGCCTGCTACACTGAAAGACTTCCCTTGAAATCCACATACACCAAGACTAATTTTCATCCTATTTAAATAAACATATCAAAGCATTTGTCCTGCCTGCCATTCCCCAAACCTGCCTTTGTTTGAATCCCCCAGACTGGCTGTTTTGATGGCACTTAACTAGGTATCTGAGAAATCTTCAGCACCTCAGTGTGTCTAACACAACCATGTGTAGATGGTTCTAAGGAGGAAATTTGGCTTTCCATTCCATACATTGGCACAGGCTGGAAGAGAGGAAATTGTTTTGGCTAAAATTTTAAAATGGATCAAAACGGGTGCTGATGGTGCAGCAGCAAAGGAAATAAATGTGTGTTGGGGGAAGCACCAAGACTAACGGATGTGTTCTGGGTTGTCACGATGGGATTTCCCTGAATTTGCAATGCTCTAATGGTGGAATCAATACAAAGGCAAGCCCTGGCACACTCCCAAGGACTGCCTTCAAGTCCAGTGTAGGGAGCACAAGAATCTAGTTCTTTCCCACAGTGGCAAAGCCACTGCTGAATAAGAACAATGAACACATTCTTCATTGCTCCTTGGCCTTCACTGTGCTGCAATCTCATCGACATATTTGATAACGTGGAGAATGGCAAGACATCAGCCATTTCATAATAAGCAATACTTTGTGAATGCATTCAGTTTGGGGATGTTTGTGTTTTACATGCAGAAAAGATAATACACAGTAACATGAGGCT